ACAATTGGGCATGACTGAACAGAATAAAAAAATTATGTATACATTTGAGAAAGCTAGTTGGATAGTGATGAGGTTATTGCCTTGCCTTGTCCTCACGGGTGTTGGGTCCATCAGCAGCAAGAGTACCACGAAAGAAAGAAAGGAATCTACCTGACATTTTGACATTGATCAGTTGGGCCAGTTTTTTGGTAACTGAATGTGAGTGCTTTTATGTTCCCACCCCAGCTTGTGAATCTTAACATGGGCAGTAGATGAATGGCTGTAGTATCATAGTGTTGAGGGACGTCAACTTCCAAGCCCTAGAAATGGATCTAGTGTGGCTCAGATTACCTGTCCTCCATGGAAACCACAGCCTTGTTCCTGGTTAAAACAATCTAATTTCATTCAATCAGGACCGCGTTCAGATTTAAGTCCAGAAATGAAGGAAAATCCTGAAATCCTCCAGTGGATAATGCCCCTGTGGTGTTTATTCCACCAGAAATGACAGGACTTTATAGGATGGGCTGCTTAAGTTTTTACAGTTGAATATGCACTTCTGTTTCTAGAATGTAGAGTCGTCATTTTGGCATTAGGAAGAGGAAACACAAATTGCTCGCTTTATCTCTCAACAGGAGATGTTTATTGTGCTCAGCATCCTACAGCCTCTCCTACAGTCTCACAGTGGTTAAATATACTGAGGTTTCTGCAGATCAGGAAGTATCTAGGATACATGGATGGCAGGTTGCCTAGAAACTGAAGGTCTGAAAAGAGCTTCTCGTTTGATTAAGCATTGTTAATTGCAATTTCATGTATAAATAACTAAGATGTTTCAGCCTTATCAGCGATTCACAGAAGTCAAAATCGCATTCTACCTCTTAGATCCCAATATATCAGGGGAACCTCAGCATAATATTCCGTTTCATCTACTATAATTCAGAAATGTTGTCCCCTCAGTAGCTGATTTTCTGAGAAGTCCCATGACAGGTGATGACATCTGGCAGAAGTTGTTCTGGGCTTGACAGATACACCTGTATACAAAAAGAACATGTAGTATAGTTTTTACAACAAATGTTAACACTCCCACTCTTGTTTTTTCCCCCTCCTGACCTTTTCTATGTTTTAAAACTTGAGCACTGCACTCATGTCTTTTTAATAAGGTGGAAACCTCATACCTTAAAAACAGCAGTAGCATATACTTGTGAGATAAAATCCCTAATTCATGAATATTGTGCTTTTAATGTTTGCAGGCTAACCTTGAAGTATTATTGAAGGATGATTATATAATCGTCAGTAATACACAAGGAAGCATAGTGTTTTGGAAATAATGCCTTATATTGAGATCAAATTTACTAGTTCTTAGTTGTCTTGGTTCCAAGAAAGATATTTCAGCGAAGGGAGCTTGTTCCAAAAGACATTTTATACATAGGTCTGAGAATATTCTGAAAGGCAGTTGGATCAGAGGGGGGAAATTGGGACATTGCTGTATGAAAAATGGAGAAATTCTTCTCATTGTGTATTTTATTTGAAAAGACACATGCCCATTTTAAAAGAAGTCATGAAGCTAGTATCCCAAGTATACCATTCACATTAATATCAACATCCCGCTTCATAATATATCGAGTCCAATCTGTCAGTCTAATACTGGATCTGAATGCCACGTAAATCCAAGGAGATTGAGGTCTCAAACTGACATCAAACTGACATCCATCATCCATCATCCACAGATACATGGGAAGAACCATTAAGGTAGAGGATCCCTGAGCTGAACTCAACACTTGGTGTCCAACTAATTATCGTTGATCAGGAAATAAGTACATTTGTTTACATCATATGCAAGCAGTTACATTTATGCTGTAGATTTCTTCATTGTAAGCAGCGGTGGATATAACGTAGTTAATTCATGTGAAAGATTTTAATTGTATCCTCACATGATGAAAGGCTTTTGAATTAGCCATTCTCTGGCACAGTTGCATGGTGAAAAGAGGCCCTCTTATCCATTTTGACAGGGAGACTAGAGAATTAACGAATTGTACATCAATTGTCCTCCAATATCTGGAGGACAAATAGGGCTGTTGAATGTTTGGCCAACTTTGTGTCCCTCTCTCTCTCCTCCCCCCTTTAATAAAATGGCAAATGAGGCATATACCACATTGGAAGAACTGTTACTTCTCTCCCCTCTTTACTTTTTTTTGGGGGGAGGGGATTGTTTTATCTTTTACCTTGATGTTAAATGTCACAGTGGGGGTGCTCCTGAAATTTAATGATGACAAATAACAGTTCTCCCTGATGCTGTTTGTTACAAGCCTGGAAAACTCCAGGAGGCAAATGTGAAAGAAAACATACTGAGCTTGTTCTCCGTATCCTTTGTGTCAATAAAGCAATTCAGAGAGGCAGGAGTGGGGATGATGGGGCTCATTGAGAACCTCTGGATGTTTTTGTGCAGGGCCTGACGTCTTCCTGGAAGAAAATGGGGTTAATTAAAGAAAGGAAGAGAAATGCCATGCTCTTTAAAAATGAATACATCAGTATCTTTGTCGCTCCATCTTACTCCTTTATTTTAAAATGTTCAGTAATGGATTAAACCATTGGCAAAGACAGATGAGGTTATAGTTTTTTGGGGGATTTTCTTCTTGGTTTTGAAATCTTACACCTTATTTGAGGCAAATATTTGGGGGACTGATTTCAATAGGAATTAGGGAAGAAAAGTTCTTAAATTGAAGACTTAGTAATTGAAAAGGGAGGAAAATGGATGGAAGGATGGGATAAGATGGGATGGGATGGGAGAGGAGAGGAGAGGAGAGGATGGCTTACTGTTATATATTCTTATGATTTTGACAGGGTAGTCCTTGTCACGTTTTCTCATTTTAGCAGTGCCTAATACCTACCATGGGCTCCTAGTGAGCAGAGGAAGTATTTTTGGAAAAATGCTAGAGCACAGACTCCGATTAAAAAAAAAAGTGCAATAAATTCAGAACAAAAACAGTAACAAACCATTGTTTCTGGAATCCATAATTCAAAAAGGTGTAATTGCTGCAAGTTGAGGCGATGGCTTAGAGAAGCAAACTTGTAAAAAGCAGTGATTTTTGTGAACTAGTGAAGATTGCAAAAGAAGCCTTCCTAGATTTGGCCAAATGCCTGTTGTGTCATCGCTGACACAACCTGTCTCCCATCATCACTAACGTGATTAAAATAATCAAGGAAAATACATCTGTCCCTGGAAAGGGTTTGCATTTAAAATGCTTTTAAAATATTTTGCTGCCAAAACTGGGTTTGAGCTTATAGCAGGCATGATCTGTTATAAGCAGAGCAATTTCAGTATTGGGCTTAGGAGATTCTCTCTTTCCCCCTCCTTCTCCATCTTCCTTGGCTCTCCCCTTTGCATCTTTTTCTTGAGCATTCCTTTTAATAAATTTTGGGATGTTCCAGCTCAGTAAGAGCCTAATTGTCCAGGAAAACTAGTATTGTAATTGTGCCCTGAGACAGTGCTACCTGCTATGTACAGATTTGCTTTAAGAACTACTCAGTATCTCTTCTCAGTTCTCGATTTATGAGAGTCGGCAGATTACATACAAATAGGTTTTAAACTCTCATAAGAGTCTTTCAAAGTTATTTAGTCATAGTACATTCCAGGGTTTTAAATGTGAGTGCTTGTTATTTTTTAACCATGGCAAATACCAGCTTAAAGTGGTATTTAAGATGTCCACCATTAAATCTGTCTTACTCCTTTGAGGGATAAAAGTATATGGATTGGTTGTTTTGAATAGTTTTCTGTTGGATTGTTTGGTATGTTAGTTTGAATGTTAATGTGTGCGTACCGCTGCCTGGTTTTCAATTGATCCTAATCTTTGCTGCTGCTTTTTCAGTTACAGATTAACTTCATAAAATGTTGCCTTCTGGAAACTGTAGCTGTGACTTACCTTCTTTCTATTCCCCCTGATTAATATACTCAAATATATATCCTTACACACATATAGAAACTTAATAATTAACTTAAGAGTAACTTGTTGTTGGTTTGATAATCTGAAACTGTCTAGGTCAAGAGTGAAGGGACTAAAGGCCAACATTCCTAAGCTGATATTCTTATTTTTATCCAAAGGTCCTGGGATCTTCTAGCTACAGCCAGTCAAGAAACAACACACCCAGGAGCAGAACTATAGCAATATTTAGCTGTCTTTACAAGTTAAGCAAAGCATTCCAGTCACCAGGAGGCTTCAGTCCTCCATGGGATGTGTAATATTGTCCCTGAGCATCAATATGCCTCAAAAATACAGTGTAGGAGTCAGGAACATCAATATTATTAATAGTGCAGGGTTAAACTCCTAGCCTTCGTTTAAAACCATCCTCCATACTTCCTGTTTCTATTTATCCCTAGAAAGAAAGAAAAACATACTGGGTGACAGTGGATGAATAATAATCAATTAGGCATTACCCTAGCGCAACTATTCCCTCTGCTTAGTGCTATAGATGAAATGGTAGAAAAAGTAGAATCACATATCACATCTAAGCATAAGCTTGTTTAATCATGACCTCTTGACTAAACCACAGTTGGTTAAGTGTGCATTACAGTCTAAAGTTGATAGATTCCAGTATCTGGATTTCTACAACATATAAAACTAAAAGCAAACCAGTGTGTGTCTAGTCTCTGTATTTGTATAAGTTCTGAATCAATGGTTGTTGGTAAAACATAGAACGTTGCCAGAAATTCAGTACTTGTAGAGAGGAGTGGGTTTAAATAAAGGCTAGGAGATTAACCCTCCAGTATAATAACACTGATATCTAAAGTAATAGCTACACTTTAGAGACAGATCTCAGTGGCACTTAACTTAATCTGAGGCCACTTTTAGAAATGTATTGGATATAAAAATGAATGGGATAAGCAAATGAATGGGATAAGCAAGAGTTTTAAGAAAACTGTTACCTGTGCAGAACTGTTTCGTGATCCAATGAATCTTGCATGGACAAATCTGCTGGTACTGATGGTCATCTGATGGGCCACTAACCCTTTTTACTTTTCTTTTAAGTTCCCCAGGTCCTCAAGAGTTGCACTGAATTCATTGAAAAACACGGTATTGTGGATGGAATATACCGTCTGTCTGGGATCGCATCCAATATCCAAAAACTACGGTAGGTTTGTATGCACTATTTGTGAGTTTTATTCTCTGTTGGGTGCCCTCCCTTTTTTTTCTAAAAAAAAGCAGACAGACCTGATTTTTCCTTCACTCCATAGCTGCTTTTTGGATTTTAAGATTTTCCTGTCTGAAAAACCAAAGTACATAATCAGTTAGGATAGAAAGCAATTGATTGTTCTGGAGCTACTATCTGCTGTTTAGAGTATTCAGCAGGATTGCAGGTGTTGTAGAAGCAAGTTTTAAAATAATAGCTGTACTTTGATAGATACAGGGTTTTTTTTATAAGTTGGATGATAGGTTCTGCATAAGGTTCTGGTTTCTTCGGCTTGTATATGTATGACCTGGGGGTGGCTTTCGTTGACTTTATTTCATTTCTCCCACTCATCTTTTGCTTTGTAGGCTTGACAGACGGGTAATTTCTCAAAATAGGAACCGATCATTTAATACTTAATGTGACTCTGACACGGGCCACCTATCTTGCAATTATTTATGTAATTGCCTCATCCACTTTACAGCTAGTATTTTTTTCTGAGCAAACTAATTGGCTATAAGATGATTGGAATTGCTTGTCAGAAAACCATGTAGCTTTACAAAAAAATCAACATGTGTTTTAAGTTGTTTTTACATCTTACTTAAAGGCGAAACCATGTTGTCCTCTGATTGTATATATTCTTTTTTTTTTCCTCCTCCCACCCTCGTCCCCTTTATTTTTTCTCTATTTTCAGGCACGAGTTTGACTCCGAACAAATCCCCGACTTGACAAAAGATGTCTATATTCAGGATATACACTGTGTGGGTTCACTCTGCAAGCTCTACTTTCGGGAACTCCCCAATCCTCTGCTCACTTACCAGCTCTATGAGAAATTTTCAGTAAGATTGTTTTTCCCCCCCCCCCTCCTTACTGTATGGGTGTCCTTAATTGTGTTTCAGAGATTTCTTAACATTTTTTCCTATGGATAATTTGGAGAAACAAAATCACATGTAAAATAACTGGCACGTTCCCTGTATATCATTGCTGTATATTTCTATTCGTTCTTCCGGGATATTATGGAACATGAAGTTCGGGATAGCATTTCTCTGGGGAAAAGAAGCCTTAAGCTTATTTAGAGTTGCAGCGAAATCAGTTGATTGTTTCCACTTGGGAACTAGGTTTAGTTGACAGTGCCAGTGTGGATTTAAGAGATCTCAGTTCAAGTCCCAAGAGGTCCAGATAACTGAATAACCCTCACAGCTATTTTGCCAAGGAGGAATATGGGAAAAATCTCCTGTACGAGGGGTGTCCGATCTTGGCAACTTTAAGACTTGTGGACTTCAACTCCCAGAATTCCCCAGTCAGCAGAGTTGCCAACGTTGCACACCCCTGCCTTATAAACTGCTGCATATTGGAACTGGTACAGAATACCAAAGTAATATATAACATCCTGTGATTTAGGACAGTCAAAAACTTAGCTAGGCATTTATTTTTGCTCTGCATTATGATTTTTATTAGTATTCCTCTGTAAGGCTTTAGGAAAAAAGAAACAAAGGTGGTGTGCTGAGACTTGTGTCTCCCCCCCCCTTTTCCCCCCCCCAGGATGCTGTATCTGCTGCAACCGACGAAGAAAGACTAGTGAAAATCCATGATGTCATCCAGCAGTTGCCACCACCACATTACAGGTCTGTGTACACGGCTATTGCACAACTATTTGGATTGTGTTTACACAGCCTGATGATTACGTTATTTAAAAAAGAAGCCTAGGTGACTTTGTGGAAGTCTGTGTCCTATTTTCCCAGCAGTGTACCTCTATTAACACTAATCTGCATCCACACCCTGTTTTACAAGCAATGTCCTTTCTGCCTTCCTCATTCCATACGTGGTAGTAAAATCATTCTTTAAAGACGTGGACATTTTTAGTTTGTTCAGCAGGTAAGCTGACTTTGTTTTTGGCTAAAGGACTAAGCAGAATCTTGCCTGGTTAGTATTTGGATGAGAAATGGCTAGGGACATGCGGGTTCTGCATTAGGCCAGGGAGTTAAAAAAAATATGTAGTCCTCAACCTACGACCACAATGGAGCCCAGCATTTCTGTTGCTAAGTGAGACACTCGTTAAGTGAGTTTTGCCCCATTTTACGACATTTGCCACAGTGGTTAAAGTGAATCACTACAGTTGTTAATAACACGGTTATTATTGACTTGGCTTGTCAGAAGGTTGCAGAAGCCGATCACATGACCCCCGGGACATATCAACCGTCATCAATATGAGTCAGTTGCCAAGCGTTTGAATTTTGATCATGTGACCCTGGGGTCGTAAGTGTGAAAGACGGTGCTAAGTCATTTCTTTTCAGTGTTTTTGTAACTTTGAACGGTCTCTAACTGAACAATTGTTAAGTCGAGGACTCCCTGTTCATGAAGAGATGGACTTGTCTGTCCTGTAAGTTGCTGATTTACTGAGGATCCCATCTTCCCACTGTGAAATTAAGCAGCCGAATGCATATCCTAAAAGATTTATGGTAGGGGTGTCAAACTCAATTTCACTGAGGGCCACATCAGCATTGCGGTTGCCCTGGGGTTGGTGGTGGCCAGAGTGGGTGCAGCCTACTGGGTGGGCGTGGAAGGAGTGGGTGTGGCCTACTGGGTGGGCGTGGCCAGTTCTACATCATTCGTGTCAAGAGTGCCTATGGGGGCCTGGGCAGGAGTGGGACAGATTTGAGGGTCTCTGGCAGAAGGGGGTGGGACCGGGGCAAGCGTCAAGGCATGGTCCACCAGGGCAAGTGCCAAGATGGCCACCACAAAATTGTACATTGGCTCCCGGCCGGCCTGGGCCAGGGCCAAGGCAGCGGGGGCCGTTCCCTCACTGTTTCCAGAATGGCTTCGCGGGCCACATGAAACCTCTTCGCAGGCGGCATCTGGCCCCCGGGCCTTGTGTTTGACATGTCTGATTTTTTTTTTTTTTTATTATTATTATTATTATTATTATTATTATTATTATTATTATTATTATTATTATTATTATTATTATTGTTATTGTTGTTGTTGTTATTATTATTATTATTATTATTATTATTATTATTATTATTATTATTATTATTATTATTATTATTATTTATTGAATTTATATACCGCCCTATCTCCCTTACGGGACTCAGGGCGGTGAACAGGCGATAATAAAATCACGATAAATATACACAAGTTTCTGTTTTAAAATCAAATTAAATAACAGGCCTGTTCTAAAAGTACCCCATACAAAACCCCCACTAAAACATAATTGTGGTGACACAAGGCTGCCTTCCACTTTATTTAAGCTCGGTCACAAGACAGATAACCCATGCCTGTCCTCTCTGCTGATACTCCATGAAGTGGGCGTGGAGGCATCATGCAAAAGTCAGCATGCCTCCTAGGAATATAAAACTCCAAGGGTGCGAAAGGGGAACAATTTTTTAAAGAAATTATGGGTTCTTATCTTGCCCTTCGGGGCAGAATTGTCAATTAAAAATTTAATAGAGTGGAAATGCAAGTCTAACTCTGTGCATCATGGCAAGAGATAGCAGATGTGCTTAAGAGTCAGCAGGGAAGTAGGACAGCTCATCTCAATGCTATCCGCATTAAGAATAGGATGAGGATGCTGGCAGAAGTGAGTCAGACGAGCGGTTTAGAGATCTGGAAAACATTTAGAGATTTTTCTTTTTGCCGGCTTGGAGAACGTTGCTGCTGCTTGCTACATACAGTATGTGGGCATCCCGCATCAGAGGAAGGGCATGTTGTGGTTGGGAACTTGATCCTTGGATCAGATGTCTAGCTCAGCATGCCATAGAAACTGAATCTGAAGCCCATTTTGGGACGAAAACAAATAGCTCTTACGAAAGTCTAAGATTTCTTGCTAACTTTTAGCACAGTGAAGGCCAGGTAGAATATTGAGGGCTGCTGTATCTGTTCCTTTACTTGCTCCGTTGCTTCATACAGCTTTGTAGAATTAGGAGGTCTGGCAATTGTTCTTTTCCTTGCCACATCACCTAACCCATCCCTGTTTAGAGCAAGGCTATCCAGTTCTGGGAGTTGAATCCCCAGGTCTTAAAGTTGTCAAGGTTGGACACCCCAGGTTTAGAGGAAGTAGCAGTTTGGAGTGCCTACATCAGTGATGGCGAACCTTTTAGAGACCGAGTGCCCAAATGGCAACCCAAAACCCACTTATGCATCGTCGGGTGCCGGGTGGGTGTGGCCCATTGGGTTGGTGTGGCCCATTGGGTTGGCGTGGCTGCGGTGGTAACGGCAGACTGGGTGGGACTAAAAAGTTCAATCTATCAATTCTAACTTTGCAAGATCTTTTTTTTCCCCCGCGAGAAGTTGAAATTGACTGATTGATTGAACCCTTTTTTTTTTTTGCACACGGCGGCGGAGGCCTAAAGCGAAAAGGTTTTATAAAACCCAGCTGAAGGCCTAGGACTGGGGCGACGGCGCACGTGCCCACAGAGAGGGCTCAGAGTGCCGCCTCTGGCACCCGTGCCATAGGTTCGCCACCACTGCCCTACATTCTTTCTTAAGCCTGACCTGAATAGCTTAGCTCAGGCCTATTTGAATGTTTGAGTCATCAGCGTAAGGGGCCGAAAGGCTCGGTTTCCATCCTGTTTTATACTAACGTTGGATTACCGGGTTATATTGCAATACAGGTCCTCAACTTATGACCACAATGGATGTCATCCTAAATTGGGAAACAGAATCCAGGGGAAATTAACTGTGCTTTGTTTTAAAGTATCTTAGATATTGATACTCAAAATATCATTAGTTCCTAGAATTGTTTGAAAGGATCCATGTGTCCCTCTTATATGCAAAATCTATTAACAAAGGTTTAGCATATTTTTATTGGTCGGTTATGCAATCACTTGATGCCCCTTTCAATATCTGAACTGGACCCTCTGTCTCTGTCTCTGTCTCTGTCTCTGTCTCTGTCTCT